CTCTGAGCATTGCACTGTTTAATCGATCACCCGAATTTCGTTGAGGAGTTGGGAGCTCTAATTTCTCAAGTTCTTTGCCACCCATCTCTAAAACTTTATTTTCAATAATAATCAGTGCTTGATTAAACATATCTGGTGTATAATCCAAATTCATTCCAGGATTTTGCCGGCGAGCATTTCTCAGAATGTCTTCAGTCAAGCTTTCTTTGTACGACTCCCATAATTGTTTTGGATTGGATGGTCCACAAACAACTAGTATAAGAGCCAATAGATTTCTTAATCTTGCTGGCGATTGAGCTGCAGCTGCTTCGGACATGGTGGCATCCCATTGCTGATCATCTTCCAGTAATCCGTGTAATTGACATGCTTCACGAAATGTTGCACAGATCTGACCGTTTACAGTTCGAAGAGCTTCAAATGAAGTAGGGCCTCTGACCACATGAAGTAAGAGTCGTAGGAAAAAGCATTCGAAATTATTAGGATGCACAGTGTAAACACGACCCAACGCATCTCCTTCTCTAATGTCTGGATCACCAAGCACAGCAGTTCCTGGAACACGCCGCTTAAACACTTTTTCAGACGCGTTCCATGTGTAGTATTTTGGAACATCACAGTACAACAGCGTTTTGGCAAAGTCGTCTTTCTGGCAGAGTAAGAAAAATGCTGTTAGTGTTGTTCTTGGTGGTTCATTAACTTTCTCATGAACATTATCTTCGGTGAAATAAATGCGTTGACCATTTTCCAAATGAACAGCCAAATGAACAACGGTTGGATATCGTTCGTGAATTGGAAAATCCAAGATTCGCCAGACTGCCTCATTGCTACTGATGTATCTACCTAACTGGTAGTTACTAATTTCATCAACTGGTGCTCCATCTCTTCCCAAACCAAACACTGTCTGATCACTGCCCTTGTTGACATATTTGCAGATGTATTTGATTGATTTTACCGAGTTGCAATATTCCACATTAATGTGGGCTTGAAAGACCCGAGAGAGTAGTGGACAATATGGCACAACCCACTTGTTGTCAATTTCGATTTCTTGAATGGAGTTATTAATTCTCATTTTGATTTTGGCTTTGATACCACCATCTTCTGAACTTCTTCTTCTATACGATGGATATCCATCATCACCAGTTTCTGTATCATGCAAAAGTTGTTTTGGATATCTTTTTGTACGCTTTTTGTTTTCCATACACGGAGAGTTTGGATTGATACTTCCACATGGACCGTGAATCATAGTCTTGATAATTATTTCAAATAGTCGAGGATCTCGTTCAGGATCAGGTAATTCTGCGCTGATTACGCTATCTATTTGATCTGCTTTAATTTTGTTCTTCAGCCACATCAAAATATGGGCATGTGGTAGTCCTCTCTTTTGCCATTCAATAGAATACATCCAGCATCTTGTTGGCCCAAATACATGGCTTTTGGTAATAATGTTGACCAATTTAATGAGCTTTTGTCTGAACACTCTTGCTAATAGGTCATGACGATCAGAGGGAGCTTGACCTTCCATTAATTCTGCTTGAATTTCTTGCCACTTAGGATTGCACGTGAATGTTATAAAGAGGTCGGGTCTTCCGTGGTTTCTTACATAAGTCATAGCGTCTTGTGTATATTCATGCATGTGCCGGGGACTTCCAGTGAAAGTTGCTGGTAGAATCACTAATTGGCCAAGATTGTCAGCTTGTCCATCATTGGCTATAGCATCTTTCAGGTGAATGTATTCATCCACTCTAAGCTTTTTTTGATTATAACGTAGAAAAGATAATCTTTCACTTTCGATCTTAGCGTACATGTCAACCACATACTGATGGAAAAGTTGTCGGCACTGTAAGATATGATTGACAGCACCATTTCGTACCATAATTCTATAAGCATAAAAACTCATAGCCGACACCTTTTTGCCAGTGACAGCCATTTCAGTTGTTGGATCAGTCTGTTCGATAAGAAAATGGTAGCCATCCTCACCTTTCCAAAAGATGAGAGGATATTGCAAGGCATCATACCATCTGTGTGTCTCAGATACTCTCTGTAACTGATCATTTTTCTTCTCCAAGACAATATCTCGTTTCTCAAAGTCGTTGCCAGCGATGACAACCGCCACCTCATTTGTCACTGGCTCATTGAAACGACGTGCATGCTCTCCAACAGGTTTCATGTCTGCTCGAATAAGCACCTTGTATTGATCTGTAGGCATTCTTTGAAGGGCAGTCTTGAAAAGATCAACATAAATGTGGTGCTCATGAACCATTTGCTGAAGTTTCTCGACAATGTCTTGACGTACGCCAGGCATGTTTTTGCAACGTTGTTGTACTTCTTTTCGATCGTCGCCCATGAAGTAAATTTGAAGAAATTTATGTTCTTCATTCGAAGGCGGCAGCAGAGATCCTACGCGATGATATACTTGACCCTGAACTCTGAAAGTAGGCATGAAGCCTGGGTCAGCCACTTTCTCTGACGTGCCAAAAGATGTCATTTGAAAGCAGGAATTGTATTTTCTAATGTTATCCAAGAAATGCTTCGATTCAGGCGTTGTTCCTGACATTAATGATTTCAGTGGTTCAGGAGGAGGCTGAAGTTCAGGTAACTTTACTTTACCACCAGAGCAGCACATACCTCGTGTTTCTGCATGCCACTTGAGGGCATTACAGTATGGGCAAACATCACTCATTTGTCCAATATAAAGTTGAGGATGGGTGTCATAGTTGTTGGCTGGATCATAACGAAACGCTTCCCCTTCCATAAATGTCCATTGCGCTGCTCTTGAGGCTGCTTGTCGTCTACGCTGATCTTCACTTCGAGTCCGTCTCTGTATGGGATCCTCAGCTCCTCTTGTAGCTGCATGTCTGGCTCGATCTTCTTCCCGTCGACCTTGTCTCTGTTCTGGAGATTCAGCTGCTCTTGAAGCTGCTTGTCTTGCACGTTGACCATCAAGTCGAATGCGTGTGTCTTCAGAATCTTCAGCTGCTCTTGTTGCTGCCATTCTTCTTGCAGCTGATGTACTTCTTCCCAAAGAGGCTCTTTTTTTTACTGGCATCACGTAATATTTTTATCTAAATAAGAAATATAGAAAATAGAAAATGCTCTGAAGAGAATGAATTTGCAATCTTACCTTTTGAATTTACTGTTGATATCACGATCGAAAAATATTTGATAACCTGGACGCTTATAATTTTTATATGGAATATTGAACACTTACTCGTTTTTGGACAATTATGTTCAGTGATAGAATAGAATATTGTTTTTATTAAAAGCGTTGAAGAATAAGAAATACTATAGTGAGTTTAGTTTTATTAATAAAAAACAAAAGAAAAAGATACCTAATTATATAGATGCAAAACAATAGCATATTTCTATATCATCATCATCATTTAACATGACGTAAACATTCCAATGACGATATAAAATATGATATATGAGGAGGAATGTTATACACTCTAAAAAAAAGGGTACTCTTGGAAACCTATAGAGGGTTTCCGGGTTTGTCACTATATGAAACCCTTCATAGGTTTCCGGAAAAGGGTTTCCGAGCTCTCGAAAACGCTTTAACGCAATCAAAAAACCTCAGGGCCCAGAAACCCCGTTGAGGTTTCCGAGACTTCGAAAATCTTGTATAGGTTTTCCACAGCTATTTACAAAACGATTCACTGACCTATATCTGCCGCCTTATTCTAACACTTTAATCTATATGTATCCCCTTAATCTAACTCCTTATTCTAATCCCTTAACCTATATATATCTCCTGAATCTATCACCTTAATCTAACCCGTTATTCTATCTCCTTAATCTATATATATCCGCTTATTCTGTCCCCTTAATCTATCCACTTATTCTATCCCTTTAATCTAACCCTTTATTCTATCCCCTTATTCTAACCCCTTATTCTAGCCCCTTAATCTAAGTCCTTTTTTTACCCCTTAATCTAATCCTTAATCTATTTCCTTATTCTATCCGTTTAATCTGACCCCTTATTCTACTTCCTTAATCTATATATATCCCCCTATTCTATCCCTTAATCCAACCATTATTCTATTCCTTAATCTATCCCTTAATCTATCCCTTATTCTATCCCTTAATCTATTCCCTTTTCTATCCCCTTAATTTATCCGCTTAATCTTACGCCTTATTCTATCCCTTAATCTAACTCTTATTCTATCCCTTTATTCTATGCTTTTAATCTAACCCCTTATTCTAAACTCTTATTCTAACCACTTATTCCAACTCCTTAAACTATACATATCTCCTTATTCTATCCCCTTATTCTATTCCTTAATCTAACCCCTTAATCTCACCCCTTATTCTAACTCCTTAATCTATATATATATCTCCTTATTCTATCCCCTTAATCTATTCCTTATTCTATTCCCTTAATCTAACCCCCTATTCTAATCCCTTATTCTAAATCCTTAATCTCTATATATCTCCTTATTCTATCCCTTAAGCCATCCCCCTACTCTATCCCCTTATTCTAACCTTTTCATCTGATCCCCTATTCTAATCCCTGATTCTAAATCCTTAATCTATATATATATCTCCTTATTCTGTCTCCTTAATCTATTCCCTTATTCTGCGCCTTTCATCTAACCCCTTATTCTATCCATTTAATCTATCCCCTTATTCTATCCCTTTAATCTAACCACTTATTCTAATTCCTTAATCTATCCCCTTATTCTATATATATCCCCTTAATCTATCCCC